AACGGTCAATCCTAAAACCATGTGTACACATCTCGTACCCTATAGGCTTTCGGAAGGAGAAAATATGTATGTGGCTCAAAAGCGTTGTAGCGATCCCTTAATGCAAATCCCCAATGGAACATTGAGCGTAGCACTTTCTGGTCCTAAATAGCATTACCACCGATAATTGGGATTGATGAATCTCGTTATTGCGCGATGAACACTTAAAGATAAAAACATTAAAATAATTTTTTTATTGGTTTACAAGTTTCGATACTAAAATAAACATTTAAAGCAAATTTCAAGTTACATACGCATGTACATACTTATGTAGATGGTATGTATGTATTTTTCGGCTTAGATCAAAAATGAATCGAATGGCATTCTACATATGTACATACATACAGTATATTTGCATAAATTTGTAGGTACATGTACTGAGGATAGTTACTCTTTTGTATATAAAGCGCACAAATAAATTGGTCGCAATGAAACAGGCGTAGCTCGGTTGTTTATTGCAATTTTGTCAAACTTAGATATTACACAATTTACTTTTATTTAGTATAAGGCTATTTCTATGGCAGAGATTCATGAAAGCGAAAAAACCAATATGTTATTTTTAAGTTAGTAATAGGGCTAAGTTGCTAAAAATATATTAAACCATATCTAAAATATGTCAAAACACTATACTCATCAGCCTTAACAAGTAACTGTAGTACTTTACAAGTACGGTGACCAGATTTCTGTGGACCAAAATCGCGACACTTCTAAAGAATCGAATCCGACCGTACAATTTAATTTTCAGTATAAAACGACATAACATCCTTTAATACAGTTTTATTTAAGACAAAACTAAGAGAAAAAAACTTGAATAGTGGTCTCAAAAATATATACACACAATATATACGTTTTAGTAAGTTTTGGCTACTTTTCTATGTTTAAAAATGTTTATGACCTTTTTATGAAAATATAGCTTAATAATATCTAAAAAGAAACCTGTAATTCAAGTTTTCAAACTTTGTAGAACATTTACAAAAATTCGACGAATTTTGACAAATGTTGATCAAAATTTTAAACTTTTTAATCAGATTTTTAGAATTTTTTTCAAGCATGCAATTTTGTAGCCCATCAAGCTTAGACTTACCGTTGATTTTTGGCAACATTTTGTTCGCGTATATTCTTCCATACAAAATATACTAAAATGTCTATTACCTATTTATATTTTTGCCATTGTATCAACAGCTTCTTTTATAATTTCGCTAAATTCAAGTAAGAATCGTTTCCTTATAAAAAAACTTAACAAATAGTTAAAAACCTTAAAAAAATTGTTGACAAGAATGATATCAGCAATATAGCGAGAGTACCCGTCACGGTTGCCATTTCGGTCCAAATGGACCAAATTTGGTTCATTTCTTTTCGTATGGACCATTGGTCCAATTCTTTTTAAAATGATCCACTTCACAAGCCTTTAGTTAGGTTTATTATCACCTTTTCACTTCATGCAATAGTTTCGCGTTTTAAAATTTTTCTATTTAATTGATGAATGGTCCGCCCTATGTTGAATATCGTCAGTAAAAGTGTCGATACGGCCATCTTACTGATGCGCTGACGATCGTCGACGATGACGATATTCAGCATAGTGCCGATTGGAAACACCTGCTAAAAGTCTAAACTGGCCTTGCCACTGATCTTCAACTATGGCATGGTTAATCATCTGTCAAAGCACGCTTCAAAAAATATCGTGGTTTCTTGCTAATTTCAATTACTCGGTGACAAATATTAAAGTCGCTGGGAAAAATATGGAAAGGAATCAACGCTTTAATCATAGCATTTAGCACATGAAAATATTATCCTATTTCAATCTAAATGATATTAGATATCTTGAAATTATTACCACACATAAAGTTTCTTCTGATACTGGTATATCAATTTTGCCGCTACTCGACCAATTTCCTGCGTTGGTAAATGATGCAGACATAATTGACTTCCAATTTCGCAAATTGCGGCTGAGTCAAGTTAACTTCCAAAACTGTACCAATATAGAACGTTTTTGGGATCAAGAAAGTTTGTGAAAGCTCATAACATTTTTAGTCTGCCTCACAGTTCCGCAGCAGCTGAGCGCAAATTTGTTTATTCAGCATTAAAAAAACGAGATTAAGAAACAAAATATAATTAAAAAATTTGAAAAACATAATGTTAATAATAGGTGCAATCCCGTATTCCTCGGACTAAGACTAGTAAAACTGCCAAAAAATTAAAATTCGCTCATAGCGAGAGAGTAACAATGAAAAGTACGGAATCGCTTTCTAGTGGTTTAAAGTGGTAACTTCTGTCAACTTCAACATAACCTCCAAATTTTGGTTGCAAATTTTTGCTTATTTTGTATGTAAACACACTTAGCTCGCACATGTAAATAACCAACAAGTAATTTTTAGCAAAAAAAAAACCGACTTAAAAAAAATTTATATATATATACATACATATATTTCATGATCCAAAGATCGGATCTAAACCAGATTAGTATGGGAGCACCTGAGACACTACCTTTCCGATGCAAAAAGAATGATCGAAATCGGCTGACGTGGTCCAAAGTTATGCGGTAACATACACAAAAAAAAATATATATATAAATATATATATATTCCGACGAACTGATAACCTCCTCCTGTTTTGGAAGTCGGTTAAAAATACTTTCAAATTCATTAGAATCCACTTAAACAAATAATTAAAAACGTTTCAACATAAATTAGCAGAGTGCACTTTTCTTTTGTTTATAATTTGGCTGCCAAACACACTACAGCTGATCGTTTGACACATTTACCAGAATTTATTTATTTTTTTTTTTTTATTTTTTTTATTTTTTTTTTTTCAGTCTTGGAATACAGAATATTCTTACAGACTACTCAGCTAACACTAATTAAGTGCTACTAAAACTTAAAAATTAAGATAAATTTTAAATACATTAAGTTCACAAGAGCTAAGATTAAATACATCGCTAGTGGTATAGCGCAGAGAAAAATGTTCGCAGATGAGTAACCAAGGCAGGGCCTGATTGTGAGAAATCAATGTCCAAAGCATTGAAGACTAGGTTAAGATCAGCACACGTTCTAGAGATCGGAGCGTTGGCACCATAACTGCTTCTAGAGAAACCTATTTTAAAGAAATCCCAATGGCGGAGGATTCTAGAGGGAATATTAAATGCAATCTTTTCTAGAAGAGAAGGGCAGTCAATTGAGCCAGTTATGATGTTAACGACAAACGTGCACGCTAAAATGGATCTTCTGTTATCCAGTGTTGTAAGGTTGATTAGTTGGCAGCGAGAATAGTATGAAGGAAGTGGCAAAGAAAAATTTAATGAACGGAGAGCAAATTTTATAAAAACTTTTTGAACACGTTCTAATCGTTTAGCTAGAATTTTAGTGTAAGGCCTCCAAATAAACGTTGCATACTCCAGTCTTGACCTGACAAGTGCACA